ACACGACCCCACAGCTCACTGACAGCAGCCCTTGCTTCTAGCAGCTGCCATGACCCCATTTCCAGCAGTGTGCCTGGCACTGTGCCAACATGCTACCTCCATGGGCTCACCCTTTCCTCCCAGCTGCCATTGCCTGCCATTTGTACTAATGGGTACATTTTACAAATGAGGAACCTGAGGCTCAGAGAGGTAGCCTCTCAGCTGGGCAGTAGCAAAGCTGGGACAGGTCTCATGGCTGTCCCAGAGAACCAGTTCTTAGCTACTCTGCTGCCTTGCCTTGGAGCATAGCAGAAGCTCCTGTCCCTTGCCTAGTTGGCTTTTGCTAGAGCCCCAGCTGATCACATATTGCCTTTCTCTGGGAAATCCACAATACTGAAACCTTAGCTTATCTATTCACTAGTTCTTCTCAGTACTTCTATCTGGGCTTCATAAAACCTACTAAGGACTGTGACCCAGAGGGAGAAGGCGACCCACCCAAGGCTACCCAGCATGTGGTGCAGAGCTGAGACTGGAACTCAGGTCTCCTGAGTCCTGGCACAGCTTCAATGCTGGGGGTGGAGGTGGGGCATTCAGAAACATTTCTGAGCCCAGGTCTGTGGCAGGGCAGCCTCTGGGCAGAGGCTAGGCTTCCATGAAGGGACTGTTTTCCTCCATCCATCCTCCCTCAGTGGTGGGAGCTGCCATGCTCTAGCTTCTAGCTTCTCTGGGCTTGGCCAGGCCTCAGGCTGTCTTCTTGGCTCTAAGCTCCATCCTGCCCAGCAGCTGCATGTAGCAGGACACCTGGCCTCCCCACCAGGCCACCTGCCCTTCTGAGACAACAGACAGCACCAGCCTCTTGCAACTGGCCAGCTGACCCACCCTGGACTGAGGCCTAACTCCAGGTAGTGGCAGGGGAGGGGCACCCAGGCCTTGCCCCTGGGTGAGTGCTGCCAGCCATCCTTTTGTGGCCAGGCCTCCAGCAGGCCTCACACTTGAAAAAACACAGCACCAACTGCCATACCTGAGTGGCATCTGCCTGCCTAACACTTTTCCTTCTAGAGGCAGCTTTTGACTCAGACACTTCTGCGATTTGCTAGTTAGTTAACTTAGAGCAATTACCTCAGTGATCCCCAATCTTTTATCTGTAAAGTGGGATTTTTTTTTTCTTAGAGACAGAATCTCACTTTGTTGCCCTGAGTAGAGGGCCGTGGTGTCACAGCTCACAGCAACCTCCAGCTCTTGGGCTTAGCCAGTCCTCAAATTATGGCCCGAGGGCCACATGTGGCCCACCTAGGACATTTATCTGGCCTGCCGGGTGTTTTTGCTGCCATTGGCTGTCCTGCTTAGCAGCCAACTTGTCCTGGGCCGGCAGTCTGGCCCTCCAACAGTCTGAGGGACAGTGAACTGGCCCCTTGTTAAAAAAGTTTGAGGACCTCTGGTAGGCGATTCTCTTGCCTCAGACTCCTGAGTAGCTGGGACTACAGGCACCTGCCACAAAGCTCAGCTATTTTTTTTGTTGCAGTTTGACTGGGGCCAGGTTCAAACCCGCCACCCTTGGTATATGGGGCCGGCCCCCTTCTCACTAAGCCACAGGCAGTTTGGGATTTAAATGTTGTCAGGATTTAGACAGTGCCATGGGAGTTGTGATAATATTCGTTATGGTTACGATTCTACAATTTCCAGGCTTATCTGACCTCTGTGGCTGCTCTGGCTCACAGTCAACTCTCTCTCCTCTGACAGGTGTGTAGCACATACCCTGTTCCACACATTCGTGGTCTTGCTTCCATCATGTCTTTCTACCTAGAAGCCAGGCTCCTATTGTCAGGGGCCAGGCTGTGACATCTATTTCCCCCAGAGCTGGCCTATCCCTGACCACTTGGAGGTTGGATGGAGGCTGATAAATAAATAAATTAAATGCCACAATAAAATAAATACCACACCCTCCCTAGACATGTGCCCACAGTCTCTGCCCCATCATAGCCTCTCTGGTTTGCTGGGATCCTGGGAGGCCCCTTACTCCTCTTGCCTTACGTTGAGCAGAGAGACCCTTAGTTGGAAGCTGGGGGAGGAGTGGGAGTGAGCTGGGTCATCCAGAGACCTGCTTGGTGGCAACATGAACCATCACTGTTGCAGAGAACAGGTTTGCCAACCTCTCTTCTCTCTCCAGGCCACCCCTCCTCACCCCACCCCCCAGGGCGCAGGCACAAGAACTGAGCTGCTGGAATTCCCCATGGTTTGTGTGACCCAAAGAAGAGGCTGCTTTCCTGGCTAGGATTCTGGGCTTGGACCTGGCTGAAGGTGGGTCCCAAGTCTGGGATGGCTTTAGGGAGGGGAGTAAGTGTCATTGCCCGGGAGTTGGAACACTTGGGTTGAGTTCTCAGCTCTGGGTTTTGAGCAAGTAGCTTTCTCTCCCCAAGCCTCCCCAGTTTCCTCATCTGTAAAATAAGCCAGAAGACTAGATGCTCCTGAAAGACTTCTCCGCTGCAGATGTCACTGTCCACCCTGTGTCAGACACTTTGATTGCCACTTTCTCCCCTGCTTTTCTGCAGTTCTCAGGCGCTGAGCAGGTCAGTCTCAGTTCTTGCTCCTCCTGACAATCAGCCCTGTTTTGGAGACCCTGGTCCTGAGCCTGTGCATGCATGAAGAGTCAGCTCCAGAGACCCCAGGCTCCTCTAAGTCCAAACTAGCTCCCCTCCTCTGGCTCTGTGACTAAGCCCCACTCAGGGGGGTGGCCTGCAGGGGGCAGTGGGAGGAGGTGGAGGTACCCTAATTTCTCTCAGCTCTGCCACTGCTCCTGAAGTGTTAATCAAATTAAGGCTCCAAGAAAAACAAAAGCTCTGCAGCCACCTCGGGCTGCCTTGGAGTCACTTGCTCTCAGAACAGCTGGGAGAATTCCACATCACCTCTGTCCCCCAAGCCCTGGGTGGCTCTGACCCCAACGAACACACACCCCTTCCAGCCTGAAGGGCCCCGGCTGGCCACAATGACCTCATAGCAACAGCCATTGGACACTCTGGGCAATTTCATGGGAGATATTTGTTCTTTGGTCTTGATGCAGAGAGAATTTTTTCCTCTCTCCCTGTCTCCATGGAAACCCCAGCTACACTGCTGGCGATCCCCCTTCCCACCCCATGCTTTTCAGATCAATATTGGAGCTTGGCTCCCCACTGGCTGCCCACAGAGGATGGCGGCAGAGCTCTGGGCAGGAGGGATTGGGGCCAGGGTTAAGCCTGGGGCATGGGGAACCATTACTGACAGGGGATGAAGGACGGTCCTCTTGCTCCCTGTTCACCCGCTCACTGGAGCCCCAACCTTTAGCTCTCCTGGCCCCCTCCTTTAGTCTGCCTCTCCTCAGCGAACTTCTGCCCCTTCCCAGGGAGCCCCCTGAGCACAGACTCAGTCCAGAAGAAACGGGTCACCAGTGGTTACCACCCTGCCTCCTTAGTCGGGACACAGGGAGGTGGGGGCTGTTGTCCTCTTGAAGGTCTAGACGGAGTTTCTTCCTGCCCCAGGGAAAACCAAGGCCCGGCCAGCGCCAGTGCGTGCTCTCCGGAGGCCCAGCGTCCCGGTCCCTTCCCTCCCATCCCGTTCTCCCGCCCCCATGCAGAAACAGGTCCCTGCACGCCTCCAGCCCAGCCCGCAGCACTGCGCAGCTCGGCGCGGGGAGCTCCCTCCCGAACTTCTCCGGATTAACCTGCTATTATGTCCCAGAACCCTTCCCGGCAATGGGCTTCCTCGGAGACCTGTCAGTCCCGCTGGACTGCACTCGGCGTGCAGCACCCCTCGAGGGCCACCGCCCCGCACTCGCACCCCTTGCGCCCTCGAGCACCCCGGGCCGCCTATGGGTGCGAACGCCGCTACCACCGCTTGCTGCCTCTGGAGCAGAGAGCCGGACCTGGGCAAGAGGGAACCTGGGGTCTTCAGACGTAGGCTCGGGCAGTGGCGGCCGCTGCAGAGAGAGCGGGCTGGTCTCCCGTCCCGCGGCCAAGACACCTGCCGGCGCCCCCGCGCCCACTGCCCCGCACCGCCTGGCACCGGCCGCTGCCCCCGAGGCC